TAAAATGGGTAAGTTTCAGGAACAAGAGACCTTTCAGGCTCAAGGGAGAAAGATGGTTAAATCACATATTGAGAGAGTAGTATGCTAAGGTTAAAATGAAGGACTAATGGTAGTCTCAAACTTTTCAGTAAGACGAGGTAGAGAAATGAAATTGTTAAATAAGAGAAATGACTTACGGTAAATCTCATCTCAAATGGCAAGATATTGAGACATAAAGATGAACTCTGAAATGTTCTAGTCTCTCTTTAACATTATTCTGCAGCTTAGGAGCAAGAAGCAGGTTAGCTATTCAGCATTAAGAATTACTGAGATGAATACAACAAAAGATCAGGGAAGATTATGTGTCCAGCGAGATAAAACAGGCAGCGCTGAAGTAGTTGGTAATATATGGAACTATGAATTGAACAAAGTAGATTCTGTAGATTGAAAGACTGGGCCCATCTGTACAGAGTTACTAACACATACAAGACTAAAAACATTCGAGGTGTTAAATAAGTCTATATCTAGGAAATCGCACCCATGTAAGATTTTCCCTCAGAAATAAAGATCTGATGGAAACCTTTCATTAAATTATGCTGCTTATGCAGCAAAATGATACCCGGTTAACAAAGGAAGGACTAAGAAAGCTGGCATCACTTTTGGGATAGTAGCAGTGACACTGTTGGGAAACCTGGAACTACTACAGAAAATATTTTGCAGAAAAAAAACATAGTCAAATAAAAAGAGTAGGCCAGGCACGGTAGCTCATGACTGTAATCCCAGCACTTTGGGAGGCCGAGGTGGGCAGATCACTTTAGCCCCGGAATTCAAGACCAGCCTAGGCAACATGGCGAAACCCCGTCTCTACAAAAAAATGCAAAAATTAGCCAGGCATAGTGCCCATAGTCCCAGCTACTTGGGAGGCTGAGGTGGGAGAATCGCCTGAACCCAGGGGCAGAATCTGCAGTGAGCCAAGACTGAACCACTACACTCCAGCCTGGGCAACAGAGCAAGACCCTATCTCAAGAAAAAAAAAAAGCGTAAGATCTGAAATCAGGCTGGGCGAGGTGGCTCACACCTGTAATCCTAGCACTTTGGGAGGCCAAGGCGGGCGGATAACCTGAGGTCAGGAGTTCGAGACCAGCCTGGCAAACATGGTAAAACCCTCTTACTACTAAAAATACAAAAATTAGCTGGGCGTAGTGGTGAGGGCAGGAGAATCACTTGAACCCGGGAGCGGGGGACGGGGGTGGGGGGGCAGTGTGGAGGTTGCAGTGAGCCAAGATTGTGCCACTTCACTCCAGCCTGGGCGAAAGAGCAAAACTCCATCTCAAAAAAAAAAAAAAAAAAAAAATCTGAAATCAGAGAACTAGGATTTGAATCCCAATTTAGGCAAATACAATTGCTGTTTTTAGACCTCAATTCCCCATCTAGAAAATGATAACAATAACAGTAAGTAATATAGAAATAATAATAGTAGTGGCTAACATTTTTGAATGCTTATGTTCTAGACACAGTACTAATGCATTATTAGAACTGTATTAGCTCACTTACACATGTATTAGCTCATGTAATCATCACATTAACTTTATTGAGGCTGTTATCCCCATTTTTCTGTGATATACGCAGAATTTCAACCTGTGCAATCTGATCCCAGATCCTATATTCTTTAGTACATTTTCTGCCTCTCTGGATTATGAAGAATGCAGTAAAAAGTGCTTTAAGTGTACACAAATGTTCATCATTACTGCTGAGTATCAAGCGACAGGACAAAATAATCCCAACAAAATCCTAGACAATTTATCTACAGTCAACATTTCATAAATCCATGGGCCTTATCCTCAAAAAGCAAAGGGGATACACACATAACAAGACAACTACTTGATATGGACAAAATATACATGCTGCTTTTCTATGGTGAGCTGAAGTAAACAGTATAATTAGTGATATAAGAATAAAGAGCCTTCAGAAATCACCAAATTACAGCCTCAAAAAGTAACTGCACTAAATGCAAAGGGCTAAAAAATAACTGAGACAGAAAGAAGATCATTATAATTTTTTTTTAAAGTAAAGGTTTCTGAACAATCACAAAGCTTTGAAAAGAAATAAGGTTCCAAACAGCAACAGGCTTTTCACAGAGCAACAAATTTCATATATGCATACTATGAAAAGGATTATCATTTCCAACAAAAGTCCTAAACCACATTATAAATACTGTAGTAAAAAATAGTTGATACTAGACACTTACACAGAGCACTGTTCTAAGTACTTTAGAGGTATCAATTCATTTAATCTTCACAACAACCCTACGAGGTTAAGTCTTACTATCATCCTCATTTTCTAGATTGTGAAAATGAGGCAGAAGTGTGGTCAAGTAACTTGGCCATGTTTACCCAATGAGTGGCTGTGCTGGGGTGTCAAACCCAGGAAGTTCATCTCCAGAATTTGTGCTATACTTTCCTCTAATAGAAAACTAAAAAGCAGAACACTAATTGATTCAGAAGTATTAAGTATTATTCAATTATATCTGATAACAAGGAAGAACCTTTCATTCACAATAAGCAGTTAATAATTCATTACTCATAGCAGTTCTGTCTTTGGTGTTCCTTCCAAGTTAAGTCTGCACATTCTCACTGGACAATCTCATCAACCCCCCACCCGCCCCCCAGCTCCAAATACAATCTACTTGCTGATAACTCTCAAATCCAGATCTCCAGCCCAATCTCTCTTCTGCACCTTCAACCTGCACCAAAAACCAAAGAGATATTTCTCTCTGAGTGATTCATGAGCCCCTCAAAATTAACAACTCCAAAACTGAATCATCATCTCCATCCCACTTGCATCTCCCAATCTCAAACTCTTTTTCCTCCTGTACTCCCTTACCCCAAAGACTGTCACCAACATCCACGTGGTTGCCCAACTTAGGATGTCATCCCAGATTCCTCAATCTGCCTCACCTTGCATGTCCAATCACCAATCACTACCATATCCACCTCCTGTCTGTCCAATAAGTGCACATCTCTTCATTCATGTTACCTTACTTAATTTTATAACTTCTTAGAAAGCTGTTCTTATTTGCATTTTGTGTTGTTTTAAACAACTGATTCTCTTTTTTTCTTGTGGTTTGTCCTGTCCCATCTGGTGGTAAACTCCACTAATAGACACACAATTTCACATCCAAGTCTCTAATGTGTACTTACTTTATCAGTATGATGTTTTCAGGGATAAATTTCTGGTTCTAATAAGAGAAATTAATACTAGGAATACATGTCAAGTAATAACATTTTTTAATGACATCACCATCAGAAGTAAGACCTAGTTATTTTACAAAAAAAAAAAGTCCTGTCATCACAACTCCCTGGGAGAAACTAATTACTACAAGTGTTTGATGACAGGTAGTATAGGCCATGTACTATCTTACACACGTTACACAAATTATGCCATTTAATGTTCACAACAACACTATGAGCTGGGTCCTATTAATATTCTCATTTGCCAGATGAGGAAACGGAAAGTGGCCCAACAACTTGGCCAAAGTCCCAAGTTAGAAAATATCAGTCAGGATTTGAACCCATGTCGGAGTCTGACAGTAGAGCCCATGCTCTTAAACACGAGATATTTTGTCCCTTAAGGAAAAAAATATGTGCTAGAACTCTGGAAAGAAAGAAAGAAAGAAAAAAAAGCCTCTGCCTCGAAACTAGCTAGGACTACAGGTGTGACACCACACCTGGCTAATTTTTTTGTGCAGAGATGGGGTAGGGAGGGGGGGGGGCTCGCTATGTTGCCCAGGCTGGTCTTGAACTCCTGGCCTCAAGCGATCCTCCTGCCTCGGCCTCCCAAACTGCTGGGATTACAGGCGTGAGCCACTGCATCTGGCCCAAAATTTTTTAAGAAATGTCAACAAACCAGAAAGACTCAGAGTCACAGAAATACAACTGTCCAAAAACAAAAAAGGTAATTTAATCTGAATGCTTCTTTTCTTGGGACATCATAATTCACACAAACATGATTTTATTAAAACAAAAATGTCCACTGTCTCATACATAAGTACACTCCACAAATAAATTCTACAAATATTAGAATCCTCTGTCATTCAATTCTTATTTGGCGGGTGGGAGAAAGGTGGCAACCAACCACCCCAAGTAGGTGAAAGGCTTTGAAACCTCCACCTTGATCACTTGCTTTACTTCAAGACTGCTAACATATGAGAGAAAGCCAGTGTATAAAGAACATTGCCTATCATCCATCTTCTTCGGGTGCTCTGAGAAACACAAGCGCACAGTCAAATTCACAGGCGAACTCAGAACGAGCTTCAGCCTGCAATCCGTCAGGGATTTGGCAGCTGCACACCGAAGGTGCAGCCCGCAGCTCTCAACTTTTCATTCTGTCCACACGTTTGCAATCCTGGACGCACAAGCCCACTTTGAACCTGGCCCCAGGGTGCAAAGAGGGTTTCTGTCAGATTTCTCAGGAAGAGCGAGACGCGTGAAGGAGGGGCGGCCTCCCACCCGCCCCGAGCCGTCGCGCATTTCTCCTTTTGTTGGGGTGGAGAGGAGGGCGGACCCCGCACCCTCTAGGGGCCAACAGGGGGTGGGCGGAGAGAGGGGAGGGGGCGAAACGCCGCGGCGGCCCCCGACAAGCCCGGGGGTGGGGACACAAAGAATTCGGGAAGCGGCCGACGAGCTCCCCCACCCGCCCTTCCATTAAATAAACCGTCGGGAAAGTCCAGGCCCGGGCCGCCGAGGAGCAGGCGGAGGCGGGCGCGCTGGCTGGCGTCCGCGGCCCTCTCTGCTCCCGGCCGAGGCTCAGCGGTGGACGCGGGCTGAAGACCGGGGTTGTAGGGCGGCGCGAGGCCTCCGCTACCCCCTCAATCACCCCGAACCCCTTCCGCCCCGCCGCGGGCCAGGCCGCGGGATCCCGGTGCCGGCCTCGCCACACCCACCCGCCTCTTAGGCCCGGCCTGGGAGGACTCCGCGGCTCTTTCTCGGGCGGCGGCGGCGCGCCCCACGCCCGAGATTTACCTGCTGATCTTCTGGGCAAAGGCGCGGCGCTCGGCCATGGTTGCTGAGGCGGCGGCGGCGGGCTGGGCGCGGACCGGCGGGCGCGTGCCTCCTTGCTCGTGCTCCCTCCCTCGCGGCCTCCGCCAGTCCCGGCTCCGGACCTGGGAGGCTGGGGCTGGCGGCCGGAGCCGGGAACGAGCCCTGCCGTAATGTTCCTTAGAGGCGCGCACCGAGAAACCGCTCCTCCCCCAGCGCGTCAATCCCGGCGGGAACCCCGGCTTCGGAAGGCAGCTGCGGCCGGCGGGAGCCGAGGGGTAGAACGGAGCGCTGAGGAAGCGAGGCCCCAGCCCTAGCCGCTTCGCTGCCGCGGAGCCTGCACGACCGAGAGGTCGCAGAGAGAAGCCAGAGACAGGCCAGCGACCTGGCGAGGCAAGAAAATAAGATAACCGAATGCGTAGGGGGAGCTTGGCTTTCCCGAAATGGAAGGGAAGGAAATGGAAGGTGGGCTTTGCCGAGGGGGCTGTGCTCTACCGGCCTGGATGACTGGGTTCATGTTTCTGCAGCAGCCGTCTCTGAGCTTTTTAAAGCACTTGGGTTTCTGCTTCGGCCTCATGAATGCGGTATAACTGGAGAAACAGTGGTTTTTCTTATAGAGAAAGGGTCAGAAAATACCTTGCTCCTGCAGAGATAACAACAGTAATAGCTGACTTCTGGTGCTTAGCCAGCCACTGGATTAAAGTTTTTCAAACATGAGCGCTTTGAAGTAGATCGTTACTATCCCCATTTTAGAGGGAAGGAAATTGACTCAGAAAAGCTAAGTGACTGGTCCCAGGTCGCACAGATGGTAAACTCTTCCACTGAGACTCAAACCCAGAGCCTATTCTTTTAGGGCAGTTGTTTCCGTATTATTTCCCCCTTTTGGGTTTCTCTGTCTGTCCCTCTTTCATACATATATATATATTTATTTTATTAATTT